TCTTCTATACTTCCCAAACTTTGTTTAAAACCCCAAATCCCCCTTTGCAAGGCTTTTTTCCGTTTTCCCCCAAAAATTTTTAGTTTTACAATGGGTTGAGGTTACCCCCCCACGTTTTCGAACACCACTCCACTTTCTTTTATTATTTTTTAAAAAACAAAGGATTTCAAGAACATTTTATTGCGTTTTTGGCCAAATGTACCGGGGGTTTTTTGGGGTTTACAAAACCTATTAAAAAAGCATATTATTATTTATTTTATTTTTTAAAAAAAAAAAAAAAAAAATAAAATTAAAAAAAAAAAAAAAAAAAAAAAAAAAAAAAAAAAAAAAAAAAAATAAAAAAAAAAAAAAAAAAAACAGATAAAAATTTAGTAAAAATGAGTATTAAAAAGAGGTCATATGGCGTTTACTGGTTTGTGTGTAATCAGTAGAATGGAGTATTTTTTAGGAAATAAAATTTAAATAGTAACAAAGTTTGATTGGGTCACAGGTTGGCTTTATGAGATTCAAAATAAATTACAATATGAATAAAATTTATAAATACAATTATTCAGTATTTATTTAGTTGTGGGTGAGTAAGTGATTTTTGAGAAGAGACTTGTTTTATAAAAGACAGTGTTTCTTTTATATTACGGGTAATAAATTCCAGTTTTTAGGGCCTTTTATGTGCATTGAGTTTTTGCATATTGAGATGGACACGGGGAAACATAAAAGAGGACTGTCCCTTGTGTTAGGGGTCTGTGTTCTGTTGAGGTTGGTAAGGAGATGTTTGGGGGAATGTTTTATGTCGAGTTAATTTGTTCTATTTGTATGGGGGCATAATAATAGGAAATTTTTGTTTTGTGAGTAGGTTTAGAGTTTTGTAAAATTGGGGAGTGTGTTGTCTGTATGGGAATTTGTTATCTTTCTGACTCACCCTTTTTGTTGGGTAAATTAGTGGTTTTAGAGGTTTATTGTTGTTGGCCCCATGCACAAATTCCATAGGGGGAATAGGGTAAATAATGGTGAATAGGGCCAGGAGGGCTGATGTGGAATAGTCCCGTATTTCGATAGTATGCCTAGGGTTTTGGAATTTTTTTTGGAAATTTGTTGTATATATTTTTAAATTTGAGTCTATTATCAAGGTATTCCCTAAAAATTTTTCCCTCTGTGATTTTTTGGGATAGGTGTCCTTTACATTATGTTAAGACACACTGTAGCTCGTACCAAACTAAAGAGTGGTTTTGTAAATGTTTAGAGTAAGTTTGTTGGTCCCATCCGGGTTTGATATTTCTGTAATTCGGTATTTTACAGTATTGGCTGCATGACTGGGCTGGGGTGAGAGTAGACATTGTTGTCATCTGCAAATTTGTGTGGGTTTGAGTGTTGCGATCCTTGGTAGGCATTTTTTTTATATGAGAAAAAAAGAGGGGCCCAGGAACCCCCGTGGGACCCAACGAATTGGGTGTGCGGAAAAGTTTGCCCCATTTGTTACACATATTGGCTTCTTTGTGAGGTATGACTTTAGGGAGTTGGGGAGTGCCCTCTATACCATAATGCGGCAATTTTATGTGGAGCAAGTCGGGTCCTGTATCCAAAAACTTTTTCTAAGTCAAGAAGACCCCCGTGGGGCTTCTTTTTTCTCTATTCTGTTAAATATTTCTAGCATTGGGTAATACATCATTTTATTTTTATTAGGCCTGAACCCAAAATTTACCGGGGGAGTAGGTGGGAATTTAGGTAGGAAAAATAGGCTTATGGATAATTATTTCCCAAAAATTTTTTGAGAGGGGTGTAATTGGATATTGGCTATAGTTATCAAGTCTGTGTGGTCTCCTCCTTTAGGATCGGGGTGACCCTTGCATTTTGCTATTTCTCCATAACCCAAATAATTCCACCCTTATTCCTGAGGGTTGGGACTAAACTTCTGAGGCCCATGGTCATTATTTTGCAGGTAAATCACTAAAACGCGTTAATACAAAATTTTTTGATTGTATCTTGGGGTGACTGAGAGGCGGCTTGTAAACACTGCCACCCCCGGAACAAGTGAGGCTGGCTCAGGGGCCCCACGTGGACCGTCTCGGACGAATCGCTTTAGCGGTTTTTTGCGCTAGGGGAGGCAAAATTTTTTTTTAAAAAAATACGCTAGGCGGATTTAACGTTATCGATGCCACGTTAGCAAGGTCCACTGTATTAAATTATATTAGTAGTACATTAATTTTTTATATTTCTTCTTTTTTTCAAACCCGGCCCTATCCCACCGAGGGGGGTGGCCCAAAAGGAAAAAAAGAAATTTCTCCTTTACATTTAGAATAATAAGGAGAAGGTTTTACTACACCTTGCCCTGGCATTTTTTCTCACCCTTAAACAGCTGCTACGGAGGAAGAATTTTTGATCCACTTCCCCCGGAGATAAGAGGAAAAAGACAAGAACAAGAATAAAAGAAAAAAGAAGAAAACCCAGAGGGTTTTATATATATGCTTGCAAAAGTATTGAGTGTGACCTAATTAAGTAAAGTAGCAAAACTACCTGAAAATCTGCATGTTTTTTTAAAACGAAAAAAGGACACCAGCAATCATACCATCATGTAAACAATTACAGGGTTTTGTTTTACACTCTTGGCAGGACGGTGTACCTCCCCGGGCGTTGCTGTTACCACCACACCCGGATTATTTTTTTAAATTTCAATAAAATAAATTTTAATTTTATTCACACAAAAAATCGGTTTACTGTTATGCCCTTTTTAATAATTTTAATGTCAACCCAATTTCCCACGCATATTTGGACTGACTTCCACGTACTTCCCCACAACACGATTTGATTTTATTGGGACTTGTGCCTAGGAATAGAATTATCAAAATTATTACTTGGGAAGCATTTAAAATGGGTTGGGGAAATACATTCTGTTAGGGGGCGGGTTTTTGAAGGACCTGCCATAGGGCCAACAGGCCTCTCAGTGTTCTGCTTTCTTATGTGCAAAAATTTATGGGCGAACATCACCCTGACACAGCTGTTGCAGGCCGTGCTGGCAACATCTACAATGACAATGTTGTGTCCCATTTTAGGGAAATCTTAAAGAGATGCCAGATACAGAGCTCTCTGTACAGATTTTTAGTGTGACAGGGGTCCAGTGACTCTCAAGCTGGTCCTAGTGGCATTAAAAAACAAAGAAGGGAGGTAACCCCAGAAAAGGACTTGGTACCTAAAGTCCTTATGGAAGGGGATTTCCCTTCCAAACAATTGTAAACTCAATCCTCTGCCCTTCTCCCATCTCATCACTCATCAGATATGTCTTCAATAAAGGTAAGTGTCATTTTATTAATTATTAATGTATTTATTCTGCATGTCTCATTGTTTTCTGTGTAGGGAAATGTATATTTCATGTAAAAAAATTATTTTGTTTAATACTTTTGGGTTTTGGAACGGATTAATTGGATTTCCATTATTTCTTATGGGGAAAATTAATTCGGATAACAACAGAATCAGTTAAAGACAAGCTCTCTGGGACAGATTAATGTCGTTAACTGAGGGTCCACTGTATTAAGAAAAATGTAATTTAATGTTATTGTAACATAAATATTAATGTAAATTCAGCAAAATTTCCATATAAAATATAATACTTTTACTAAATTAATTTACGTATTACCATATATTTACCATACATATACATACCAAAGAAAACAGGGTTGCAAGAATTATAGTATACCAAAGAAAATAGGCTTGCATGAAGTACAGTACATATGGGGGTAACATCAGTATTTTACATTCTAGCACTGCGGGAGACATAGCAGTACAATACAGTGGTCCCTCGCTTTTCGTAGTTCTTGGCAATCGTAAATTTCGCCAATCATAGGGGTATTTTCATATAAACATGGACTCGCTTTTCATAGGTTGACTAGCGAATAGTAGTTGTCCAGGATGCTTACGCACGGTGTGAGCCGGGCAGGCCTCCCTACCCAGCCAGTCTGGCATTGTTTACCAGTGAGTGAAGGTCCCCTCAAGTGCTCCTACGAAATATTTCATAATCCACTCATTTTAGTGCTTGCAAGTACTAAATAAGCTACCATGGCTCCAAAGAAAGCTCCTAGTGCCAAGTCTGTGGTAAAGAAGGTGAGAAATATGTACAGTGACAAAGTCTTGGGCCATTTTAGGGAAGTGTTAAAGAGACGCCAGAAACAGAGCTCCCTCCACAGTTACTTTGCGAGACAGGACTAGAGTGACTCTCAAGGTGGTCCTAGTGGCATTAAGAAACAGAAGAGAAGCAACCCCAGAGAAGCAATTGGTACCTGAGGTGTTGCTGGAAGGGGATTCCCCTTCCAAACTGTAAACAATCCAATCTCTCTCCTCCTACAGTCTCCCATACACTAAGAAGAATCTCCAATAAAGGTAAGTGTTATGCTGTTAATGTTTCATTCATCATTTCCTATTGTATTGTTTATGTACTACATGTATATTTCATGTAAAAAAAATTTTTGTTTTAATACATCTGAGTGTCAAAAACGGATTAATTGTATTTACATTATTTCTTATGGGGAAAATTGATTCGCAAATCGTAAATTTCGTTTATAGTAGCTCCTCCAGGAACGGATTAATTACGAAAAACGAGGGACCACTGTACTATATATGGGTTTATCTTTACATTCTTTTCTTTTTAAGGGCTATGTATGAAGCTGAGTTTGAAATTAAATTAAAGTGTTTTGGAGGGCATATTTAAGGTTTAAACTATAAAAATAGGCATTTATAGGCATTTTTTTAACACATCCAGAATTTGCAATTTTTCCAAATTCATGGGTGGCCATGGAATGTAACCCCCGCGAATTTGGGTGGACTATGGTAATTGAAAACCACTGCATTAGTGAAATGCTGTAATATGGGGGCCTGCCAGTAATAGATTTGTGTGTCCCATTCACATGGCAGGACAATAGTTAAAAATGCTGCTACTATACGATTCCTTTCCCATTTGGGGTGTTAGTTTATCCACTCTCAAGACCATGTAGTAGCACAGACTTGTATCTTTGCAGATAAATCGTAAGACAGCTGTAGTACGTTATATGTTCTTTAACCGGGACGATGTGTTGTGGTTTAAACCAGTGGAGCTAAGGACTAAGTGGGGCAGACGAGGCCATATTAAAGAACCACTAGGTAAGTAATTGTTCTTGGCATTTCTTTTCTGTTTATATCTGACATCCTCCAATGATATTTATGGAAATTAAGGAGAGAGAGAACACTAAATTATCCATGTTGACCATATATATATATTTTTTAATTATAATCTATTGTTTATTTGAGTTAACATAAATTCTAATAATGATCATTTTGCTGTTCCTTCTCTCCATGTTTTCCTATAAATTCTCATAATGATCATTTTGCTGTTCCTTCTCTCCATGTTTTACTTCTACAGTACATTTGGATTTCTTTCATTTCTTCCCCATCACACTTGAGTGCTGAATTAATAATGGAACTGTGTACTGTTGAAGGCTCACCATCAAATAAGCAAGGCAAAATGACTCACGAAATCATAATGACACAATTGCAAACAAACCATACCACGGGCGGGATTTGAACCCGCAGTCAGAGTCTCAAAATCATGTCATTACGATTTCGTGAGTCATGTTGACGGCAGTGAGGGGACTTGAGCTAGAGTTCGTCACGGCCATGCTAGCTGGAGATTCGTCTGTAAAAACTTGCATTTGTGGTCACAGTGGTGCCTATCTAACCTTCCTATGGTGTAGAAATATACCTAGTTGGAACGAATCTTATTGTGGCTAGCTGGTCCAGGCTAACGCGATGGTCTGGAGTTTTGAGACTGACCGCGGGTTCAAATTCCACCCGTGGTATGGTTTGTTAAGCAAGGCAAATTTTGTCACTGCTTTATATTGAAGCAGAGTGAACTTTATTTTGCTGCAGTTTTTAAAGTATATGCTGGACTCTCTTGTTTCATTAAATGTTAATGAAATTAAGAATCTTGAAAGCAAGAATTACGTCAGCTTTTTTATGAGCTCATTTATCTTTAGTACATAAGCTAGCATTTAAAATGCAAACTTTGATACAAAATTGTCTCTTGTTCACACAGCATTTATAATTGAGAACCTGTCTTAAGGCGTATGAATAATATTAATTATTGCTCACTGCTGTTACTGGGAAATGCTGTAGTGAAAATTTAGAGAAAGACTAGATCCTACAAACAGGTTTTGGTACTTGAGGGCTCGAGGGAGGGAATTATTTGGGTTGAATTACAGAAAATAAGCATAACCCCCCAATTCTGGGTCACCTTAATGCAATAGTAGGGTTTGTGCCACTCTTCATGCAAAGTACTTGTCTAAGAACTAAGCATTTCTTTTGCTATAGATGGTGGAGATTTTTCATCTTTTGTCTAAATTTGCTCACACTCCTGGCTGATGTCATGGAACATTTTATGGACATGTACATAAAATGTAAAAAATATATTTTGAATAGTTGTACTTGTTCTTTGATTATTATTTATGTAATATGAGAGTGAATTGGTCACTGCAGTGGACTCTCCTGGCCACCTCAGCTTGTGTATCCCCCATTACTCTGTTGCTTTCATCATACTCTCATCTTGCTTTCTTGCTGTTTCAAGGGCAGGTTGTACATCACTGCTGTCACCACCTTGGGACCCCCTGTCTGAAGTGTTCCTACTATGTAGTCATTTGCTTCCCCTCTGCCCATTCCTCCCATCTCCTCAAAACTCCACTGGTTTCTGATTAGCAATGCAACTCCTTCCCTTCTGTTCATGCTGTCTTTTCTTAGATCTGATAGCCATTTGGGAAGCTCACATGTAAGATCATCTTCATAAGCTTTGTCTCCGTGAGTACTATGATGTCTGTCAATACATCCATTATTTGTTCCTGTCACTCCTTACTGTTATTTGTCATTCCATCCGCATGGGTGCACCATACTTTTAACTCTTTTCCAGTACTGTATTTGGGGGGTTGGGGAGTGTGGATGGCAGGGTGGGATTTTGTGTGAAACTGTTGTGAAGATGGTATTCATGCTGAAAGGGAGAGAGGGGAGGTCAGGTTATTGTTTGGTTGGAATAGGTGGCTAGGAGTTGAGGAGGGGATTCGGTGGATGGATGTATTTGGTGGTCCTCCCAAGGCTGAGCTTCCCTGCCTGTCATTGCTTGCCCTGTCCCTCCTTACTGCCCTGGCATCTTTGTGTCCACTTTCTCAGTTGCTCCTGTTCCTTTCTTGTTCTGTTGTGGTCAAGGTACACCTGGTGGTAGTTTTGTGAGTCCTTTAATTGTGGTTTCTACTGAATGATTCTGTTTCATACCAGTTCTGTGTGTGCATGCAAGTGTGTTTTTATTTATTTTTATATATTTATTTATTGTCCTTGGTAGTAGGTTGGTAGACAGCAGCCGCCCAGGGAGGTACTACCGTCCTGCCAAGTGAGTGTAAAACGAAGCCTGTAATTATTTTACATGATGGTAGGATTGCTGGTGTCCATTTTTCCGTCTCATAAACATGCAAGATTTCAGGTACGTCTTGCTATTTCTTCTTACACTTAGGTCACACTACACATACATGTACAAGGATATATATATGTACACACCCCTCTGGGTTTTCTTCTATTTTCTTACTAGTTCCTGTTCTCTCCATGGGAAAGTGGAACAGAATTCTTCCTCCGTAAGCCATGCGTGTTTTAAGAGGTGACTAAAATGCCGGGAGCAAGGGGCTAGTAACCCCTTCTCCTGTATATATTACTAAATGTAAAGGAGAAGCTTTCGTTTTTCCTTTTGGGCCACCCTGCCTCGGTGGGATATGGCCGGTTTGTTGAAAGAAGAATGTATGTATGTATGTACACACCCATACATATAGTCATACATACATACATACACACATTCTCAGTTAAAGGATTACAGGAGGGGCCCCACTTTTACAGCAGGTTAGGCTCTAGGCTACTGCTGTAAAGCGAAAATCACTATCAAGTGAATCAACCTTTTTTTCACTTTCAATTGCATATAAAAGACTGATAACATATCTACACACTATCATATATTAAATGAGCAAAATAGCTTGGCCTAAAATTGCATATACAATACACACATTACTTACCTTAAAATATTTTTGTCTTTAGCTTAAAGTGACTGGTGAAAACATATAAACCATACCCCTGGCCGGGATTGAACCTGCGGTCATAGAGTCTCAAAACTCCAGCCCGTCGCGTCCAGCAATCGTGTCATTACGATTTCTTAAGTCATGAAAACATATACAGTGGAACCTCGACTTATGAGTGCCCCAACATATGAGTTTTTCAAGATATGAGCCGTTGCTCGGTCAGTTTTTTGCTCTGAGTTACGAGCCAAAATCCGAGTTACAAGCGAGCTTCCCCCTCAACCCTCGCACCTTGCCTGTGTTTATCTATGATTTCATGCTTTAATTCCATGGATGTCATCATTTTTTTCTTCTCGGCACTGTCCGTTGCACTTACTTTCTTAGACCCATGGCGGAGTTCTGAAGTTCCTCATTATTATTATTATAATAATAATAATTATTATTAATTTAGGGAACTGGAGCACAGATCCAATTCCCTAGATCAAGAGCCCCTCACCACGTCGAGGTTCCTTGACGCTGGTGAGGACTCTTGATCTAAGGAATTGGATCTGTGCTCCAGTTCCCTAAATTAACAATAATAATAATAATTATTATAATTCTAGGTAGTAGGTTGGTAGACAGCAACCCCCCAGGGAGGTACTACCATCCTTCCAAGTGAGTATAAAACGAAAGCCTGTAATTGTTTTTTCATGATGGTAGAATTGCTGGTATCATTTTTTCTGTCTTATAAACATGCAAGATTTCAGTACGTCTTGCTACTTTTACTTAAACTTGGGTCAAAATACACATACGTGTACAAGCATGCATGCATATAATATATATATATATATATATAATATATATATATTATATTATATAATATATATATATAATATATATATATATATTTATATATATATATATATATAATATATATATATAAATATATATATATATTTTTATTATATATATATATTATATATATATATATATATATAATGTGTTATATATATATATTTATTTAATAATATATATTATTTATATATTATTAAAAATATGGTATAATATATATATATATATATATATATATATATATATATTTATATAATATATATATATATAAATAATATAATATTTAAAATATATATATATATATATATATATATAAAATATATATAATATATATATATTATATATATATTAAAATATATATATATATATATATATATTTAAAATATATATATATATAATATATATTAATTTTAATATATTAAATATATATATATTTTAATATAAAATATATTAATATATATTAATATAATATATTATATATATTATATTAATATTATATATAAATTAATATTAATATATATATTAATATATTAAAATATATATAAATTTATATTAATATATAAAATAATATATATTTATATATATATATATATATTAATATAAATATATATATATTTATTAAAATTTTATATATATATATTATATTAATATATATAAATATATTATATTAATATATATATATATAATTATATTAATATATATATATATATATTTTTTTTAATTTTAAAATATATATTTTATTTTAAATATATAATATAAATATTATATTAATATAAAATTTTATAAAAAATATTATATTATAAAATATAATAATTTAAAATTTAATATATATATATTATATTAATATATATTTTATAAATATATTTTATTTTAATAAAAAAATATTTTAATATATATATAATTAAAAATTTTATATTTTTTATATTTATATATATATATATAATATATATATATTAATATATTTTAAAATTATATAAATATTTTAAATAATTTATATATAAAATATTTTTATAATTTTATATATTATTTTTATATAATTTTAAATATATTTTAAAATATATATATTATATATTAAATATAATATATATAATATATTAATATATATAATATATATATTATAAATATATTTTAAATTGGGTTTCCCGGGAAATGAATATCGTTGGGGGGGGTTTTTTTTAGCGAAGCCGGGGAAAAAATGTTAGCAAAAAATTGTATCGTTTGGCAAATTTTAAAACGTTATGCGATGCGTTCTTTTT